GGACAAGGGCTTGGTGCCCGGTCTGGTGCTGGGCAGGCGGGGCTCGGTGCCCGGTCTGGCACTGGGGGGGGGTGAGGGCTCGGTGCCCGGTCTGGCGCTGGGCAGGGGGGGCTCGGTGCCCGGTCTGGCAGGCCAACCCTATGCGTGGGCCCAGCACCTCTGCTCCTCTTGCTGCAGAGAATCTCTTTGTGTCGGTCGTGTCTCTTTGCAGAGATGTTTTTTAAGCAGATCTTTAGTTCTTTACACACTAACGGAGTCGCTGCGTTTTGTCCTTTGTAAAGATTTTAAACCAGGTGTTCTTGATATGAAGTAAAAAAGCCAGTTAGAATCTCAGTGTGTGCCGCTCCCACCAGCCAGGCCCCCGCCCGCTGCCTTCCCAAGAGACCATCTGTGCCATGCCACCAAGCCAGCAGCCTGGGCCGCAGGGCACGTCCCGTGGGCTGACATGCAGCCCTCTTTTCTATTTTTGATATTTCCCCTCCCCTGTTGTTCATGTCTGTGTATTTCAGCCAAATAACGTGTGTGCTATGGCCCAAGTGTGAGCGTCGCTCTGCGCTGCCAGCACTCCTCTGCCAACAGCCACTGCCACCCGTCACACACCTCGTCCCACCGCATGGCCTAGGACCCCCACCCCTTCACTAATACCCTGCTACGCCGCCACCCTCCCTACTAAAACCTGCTCACGCCCCTCCATCCCAGTCATCCGCTGGCTCCCCCGTCCCCTGCCAGCCCCTCCCGGCCCTCCTCTGGCAGCTCCCCCCCGCCCTCCTCTGCCAGCTCCCCCGTCTCCTGCCAGCCCCCCCCCGCCCTCCTCTGCTGGCTCTCCTGTCCACTGCCATCCTCTGCCAGATCTCCCGTCCCCTGCCAGCCCCTCCCCGCCCTCCTCTGCCAACTCCCCCTCCCCGCCCTCCTCTGCCAACTCCCCCTCCCTGCCCTCCTCTGCCAGCTCACGCCCACACCCTCCTCTGCCGGCTCCCCCATCCCCTGCCAGCCCCTCCCGGCCCTCCTCTGGCAGCTCCCCCCCGCCCTCCTCTGCCCAACTCCCCTCCCTGCCCTCCTCTGCCAGCTCACCCCCCACCCTCCTCTGCCGGCTCCCCCATCCTCTGCCACCCCCTCCCCGCCCTCCTCTGCCGGCTCCCCCATCCTCTGCCAGCTGACCCCCACACCCTCCTCTGCCATTCTTGATGTGTATTGCCATTGCCATATCTTACTGCCCTCTGCCAGTCCCATTGCTACTCCCATCCTTCGCCAGCCCTGCTGCAGGCCTGCCACGTTCTGCCTCTGCTCCTGCCTCGTGCCCCTGGCTCCGCTCTGCACCTTTGTGAGCTGCTGGGGGACAGTGCAGGGGACACGGGGGCACCCAGCTGCACAGCAAAGCCCTGGCTCAAACAGCCTGGTGTGGGGAGGGCTCGGCTCGTGTAGAGGTGAGGGGACCCTACTGGGTAGCGCAGTGAATGGTGCGGGGGGGGGGGTGTCACACAGTATGTGGGCTCAGGGTATGTTTTGTTGACGTCTCAGCTCAGTCCTTGCTGGACATTTCTCCACCTCCCAGAAAGACCCCAATATTCTAGCAGTCACCACTCAGGAGCCCAGGGCGAACCTGCGGGGGAACCTGGGGCTGTGGGGCAGGATGGAGGGGCACTGGCGGGGCTGGGGGGGGAACCCAGGGCTGGGGGGCAGGATGGAGGGAGGCTGGGGGGGAGCCCGGAGCTGCGGGGCAGGATGGAGGGGCACTGGCAGGGCTGTGGGGCGGGACGGAGGGGCACTGGCAGGGCTGCGGGGGATCCCGGGGCTGTGGGGCAGGATGGAGGGGCACTGGCAGGGCTGGGGGCAGGATGGAGGGGCACTGGCAGGGCTGGGGGGGAGCCCAGGGCTGTGGGGCAGGATGG